CATTGCCCTGATTAATCATTGCGCCTGCAAAATACAGTTAGCAAAATACAACAAACAATGGCGAAGTACGACCATAATGTTCTCAGTACGTATATTTATAAATTATTTTTCGGGTTTCCAGTTAGCACGCCCAAAACTTGTTAAGAATACACAAAAATCTTCAACAAGTACAGTAACTAGGAAAGTAATACATGTTAGTTTTACGATTATAAAATAATACCAAAGCAAATTGCAGAATAACAGGGAGTAGCACTCATCGTCAGTTAATTTTTCCCAAGAACAATATCTCTTGATGTGCTCACGTTAATTGTTATGTCATGTCTAAAATGGCAAACCGAAACGTATAGATATGAATTTAGTAGTGAATCTTTCAAAATTAATGAACATTGAATGCAATGGCGTTTTAGCGTTTACGCACACTTTGTTAGCTCTTGCTAAGGATCTCGCGACACAACTTTTATCTCGCCAATACATTAACAAACTATCTATGGCATTGTTTGCTAACCAGTCATTTTTTTTAAAGTTGCAGTTGTTTGTTAGTCCAAATTCCCGTGATAACATATATGATACTAGTACAATGTACACAAAATTGACTGTTTACCAAAACATTTGTTTGTCAGTTTTCGGCTCTAAATAGCATAGGAACGCGGACAGAAAATAAACATCGGAATTCGGAAAGTGACTCCCAGAGGTCGCCGTTGATAGATATAAACCAACCCCATTCGTGACATCATTAACTACTACTAAAATAATACTGTTAATGGGGAGAGTATTTGGAAGTTGAAATTAAAATTAAGTTGTGTAACGAGTGAGAAACAGTTGAAGTTAAATTAAGTCGAGTAATTAAGTTGAAACGCTACAACGAATTGACATCATCATATTTAAAATCGTGCCGGGGGGGGGGGGGGGCAAGTACAATGACATGCACAAAGACGGCGATATGTCAGAGGGTTGTCCAATCAGACTGCATGAATCACCGATGAATTGACTGGTTTCAGACACGGTCTCATTTCCGGTCTGCGTGACATCCGAGAGTCTCTAAAGCTGGTCTCAAACACGGTCTCAATCCCGGTCTATGTGGCATCCGAGAGTCTCTAAATCGGTCTCATACACTGTCTCAAATGGCATGTTCCTCTGTGGGAGAGTCTCAAAACTGGTCTCAAATGCCTCCTAGAGGGTACCGTACATACCTCACTTAAACTCCAATACAATTCAACAAGATCTCCGATCTGATCTCTGAACAACTCCCCTATATATACCCCCACTGTCTATAAATAGACCATTACATCAGCATACATAATGAGTCTGGAACTTACTACAAATTTCTAGAATGGTCCATTACCTTCTATAGCCTCATACAGTGTTCTATTACCTATTCAACCATTTTCTAAAAAATATAGAATATTCCACCCAGACACAGTACGGTTCTAGAACATTCTCAGTGACACGGAAGTGGTAAATAAGTCGTATGCGACAACCATTACATCAGCACACATAATGAGTCTGGAACTTGCTACAAATTTCTAGAATGTTCCATTACCTTCTATTGCCTCCTACAGTGTTCTATTACCTATTCAACCAGTTTCTAAAAAAAAATCTAGAATATTCCACCCAGACACAGTACGGTTCTAGAACAATCTTAGTGACACGGAAGTGATAAATAAGTTGTATGCGACACGAACGATGCCGCATACCTAATTGATAACAAGAACAAAATTATTTGTCACACAGTCCTTAGTCTCATTATCAGTATAAGCGTTTGATTTTAACATGACTGAAAAAGCAGAACAAAAAATGCTGACGAGTTGTCACAGCTCAACAAAGAATTGAAGACTTTGGATTCGTGTGTAGCATGTTTTAGACGTCTTGTTTGGTGTACTTTCCATGCAGGAATGTCAAATGTTTCTTATATCAGGCTAAGTTAATATTATGCATGTAATCGCCCCGAGCGTGTCAGTACTGTGCAGACAAAACTTACTTTCACTATTTTTACCAAATCAAACTTTAATTGTTCGTCAAACGGACACATTCAAATATGTGAAATGTGTGAGTTTTATAATATTCAAAAAGTGTGTAACAGATTACAGACATTTTTATATTATCGGCTTTAAATTCATTTGCTTTACTTTGTGTTACGTTGGTAAGATATTTCACATAACATCTTTGAACTATTTTACCATTTTAGAGAAGGGGTCCTGAGCCATTCCTCACCTACAGACAAACACATCCACACCATTGATCCACTACGGCAAAATGTTGCACACAAAAAAGACAAGACTGTACTTATCTTAGCATTATTGTCTAAGTATTTTAAGGTAGAAGGCTACTTAAAAGTGACACGATTTCATGTCGAAATCTGTCTACAATTATTCATTTTAGTATTAGTAAATTTTGTATTATGTAATTTTATTTCTGTACAGGGCCTCAGCCTATCGTATAAAATGTAATGGGTAGAAAAGTGCATAGCACGTTTTAAACACAATACAACATCCATGTAAACATATGGTACTAAGTTAAGCTGAATTCATATTCATCTCGTCGCTTGAAAACTTTTAAAAGATATAGAGCTATTTGATATATGGTGTGGCAGTTTGTGTAGCGACGAAGTAAGCTCAGACTGTCAGTATTTGCATAATTGCATAGGGTTATTGACAAAAGATCAGCCCTTAGATCATTATAAAATGGACATATAAAAACAAAGTGAATTTCATTTTCTTCCATGCTAAATTCGAACGTATCACTGCAAAAACTAAAAAATTATTGATCTAACTGTATTTTTTTGGGCCTGCCTAATTCAACATTATGTTTATGACCAAAACAGCGAAAACTCTCAGTATATATTTTAGTCTATAATTGCTTGCCAATAAATCTCCAAGGTTATAATACTACTTTGATTTTTCCAAAACTACACAGCCTGGATGATTGTGAAATTGAGGCATGCCACTATTTTTTTTATTCTTTGAGTAAATATCCCCAAGAAATTTGCAGTATCTTC